AAAAAATGTTATTTTCTACATTTTGAGATCTCTCCAGAATTTTCCAGCTTTAAATGTGTTGCTGTTATTGTGTTTGTTTATAATTCTAAATGAATATTTAATTTCTTATTTAATAATTTGAATTTTTTTAATAAAAAAGGGCCTCGAAAACTATATGAGTTTCAGACCCATATATCTGCCCCTTAGTTAAAGTGAGCACCTTGCCCCTGCATGCTGGTGGTGGATGTGATAAAACCTAATGGACTTGTCCTTTAAGCTGCCTTGGTCTCCTGAAAGCCAAATCTGCTTATTATTAAGTCAGCGAATGTACTGTTGTTGGATTTAGTGACTCTGTAGAAATCTGTGTGGCCAGACAGATAAATAATACATCATTTAAAGGTTTTTGATCTTTAACAGTGTTTTGGAAGAAGCCGTTCTTTAAAAGAAGCTAGGAAGAAGGATACATCATGGACAGGGAGAGAAATATATAAACAGTCAATTATGATTAACCATGCTAGAGGAAGGGTGATTTATCTTTTATTTCCCTCTATAGAAAATACTACAAAATCATTGTCATGGGAAGCGGTGATTAAGCAGATCTTGTCTAACAGAGCCAGTCTGGCTTGGCTCAATATAACCGCAGAATCCATTTCTTCTTTTTCAGCAAGGGCATTGATGCAAATAGAATGGTACGTGGATTCATGTAGATGATGCAAAAAGCTTATGGAAACTATTACAAACACACTGAGGTCTCTGTGCATGATGAATCTCACTCACAGCTTTGCAGCTTATAGGTGTTAGGGAGAAATCAATACTTATGATGACAGGTATGCTCTTTTGTCCTATGCATCCTATTTCCTGCACCACTTCAAACAATCTCAGTATTTACAAAACAGCATTTAAAAACTGCTCATTTAAATTCTCTGCTCCAAGAGTCTTTAGTCATATCTTAGATTCATGGGATATTAATTGGTTTACTAAGAAGAAAATTGGAGCCATAAAAGTTTAGTAAACACTGGTTTATATAACAGTGAGCTGATTTCTTTCTCTTTCTTTCTTTCTTTCTTTTTTTTTTAATTTCTTTACTATTTGCAGTAGGTCTTCTTGGAGTTTGAATCTCTCAGTGCAAGGTATAGAAGAATGTAGTTTGCAATGCTGCCCAAATTATTTGATCACAAAAACCTTTTTTGTAATGAGGAAAATGGGCTATAACATTGAAAAATGCTGCTTTGGACTAAAATAAAGGGAGTTAATGGGATGTAAATGCTTTATAGAATATAAAATTAAATGAATTATATGATACTATGATAATAATAATAATAATTATTATTATTATTATGACCACTATATTCAAAGGAATCAATTGATTATCTCATTTCTTTCTACTGGGACCATTCAAACTATCTGTTTATGAGAAAAATATAGAACTAAGACAGATGTATTTTGCACATAATTTTCCTCTGTGATAGTTTTATTTAAAAAAGAGGTTAAGAAACAACTATACAAGCTTCTAGTTATCAAGCTTCTATCTGCTGCCTCAGTACTGTCACTACTTTTTTGAGATTTTGCACTACATTTATTAATATTAAAGAATAGTAACTGTCAATGCAATCTCCATCAAAATACATTGGCATTTTTGAAGAAATTAGATAATTCATTCTAAACTTCATATGGAATCTAAAAGCACCCTGGGTAACCAAATGATTTTGAAAAATAAGAACAAAGTTGGAAGTCCCATGGGTCTTAATTTCAGAAAATATTACAAAGCTAGAGTAATAAAAGCTGAGTGGTAGTAGACAGACAAGTAGACCAATAAAGAACCCAGAAATAAGTCAACTCATATATAGCCAAATTATCTTTGAAAAAGATGCCAAGGTCACCCAGTGGGGAAAGAACAGTCTTTTCAACAAATGGTGTTAGGAAAACTGGATATGCACATACAAAAGAATGAAGTTGGACTCTCATCCTACACCATATACAAAATTAAGTCAAAATGGATTAAATCCCTAAATATAAGACCTGTTAAACTTCTAGGAGAAGAAGGGGGAAAGTTTCATGAGTTTGAATGTAATGTAATAATTTTTTGGATATGATACCCAAAGTACAGGCAACAAAAGCATAATAGGCAAATGTGTGTGTGTGTGCAAAGTTGCTTCAATCATGTCTGACTCTGTGTGACCCTATGGACTATAGCCTGACAGGCTCCTCTGTCCAAGAGACTCTCCAGGCAAGAATATTGGAGTAGGTTGCCATGCCCTCTTTCAGGGAATCTTCCTGACTCAGGGATCAAACCTGTGTCTCTTAGGTCTCCTGCATTGGCAGGTGGGTTCTTTACCGCTAGAGCCACCTTGGAAGTCCCAGTAGGCAAATGAGACTACATCAAACCTAAAAATTTTTGTGCAGTAAATTGACACAACCATAAAGTAAAAAGGCAACCTGTAATGAGAGTAAATATTTGCAAATCATATATCTGAAAAGGAATTAATTTCCTGAGTATATAAATAACTTCTACAACAACAATCTTGAGAAAGAAAAACAGAGTTGGATGTATCATACTCACTGACTTCAGACAATACTACAAAGCTACAGTCATCAAAACAGTATGGTACTAACACAAAAACAGACACCTAGATAAGTGGAACAAAATAGAGAGCTCAGAAATAAACCCATGCACTCACCATGAATTAATCTATGAAGGGAAGCAAGGACATGTAATGGATAAAAAACAGTCTTTTCCATAAGTGTGCTGAAAAAAAACTGGACTCTGTATGTAAAAGAATAATCTTAGAGCATTCTCTAACACCATATATGAAAATAAACTCAAAATGGATTAAAGACCTAAATGAAAGATTGGAAGCCATAAAATTCCTAGAAGAAAACAGGCAGAACATTCTTTGACATAAATCATAGCAACATTCTTTTAGATCTGTCTTCCAAAGCAAAGAAAATAAAGACAAAAATAAACAAATGGGACCTAATTAAAATCTTTTGCATAGCAAAGGAAACCACTGATGAAACAAAAAGGTAATCTAGTGAATGGGAGAAAATATTTACCAATGAGAGATTATGAACAGAAAACAAGAGAGCTAAAGAGTGAGAATTTCACAATGGGTCTGAAATGTTTTTATTTGAAATTCCCTTTGATTTCAAATTTTGCTATTGGTGATTAAACACATCAAGGACTTGCTTGACTCACACAAGTCTGGGAAACCTTTCACTACAAAGATCTTTGCAAAGTATTCAACAGCGGCTTGGAGGCTAGGCCTTCTTCTCACCCCGCCTTGAGTCCATGGGCACCTACAGCATCTTTTTTTTCAGTTGAAGGGATGGTTATTTTATGTATAGACTTACACCATCTTTTTGGGCTTCCCAGATGGTGCTAGGGATAAAGATGTCACCTGACAATGCAGGAGACATAAGAGACAGGGGTTCAGTCCCTGACTTGGAAAGATCCCCTGGAGGAGGGCATGGCAACCCACTCCAGTATTCTTGGCCGGAGAATCCCATGGACAAAGGAGCCTGGTGGGCTACAGTCCACTGAGTCACAAAGAATCAGACACGACTGAAGCAACTTAGCACATACCATCTTTGGCCTTTAAACTCTCTAGAGCTTAAGACAATTCTGGTATTAGGTTGGAAACTCAAATGCCTTTAGTATTTCACAACATTCAGGTAGTCTTTAGAGTTTAGGAATTCATTGCTGTGATAGTGTTACCAAAAACACAAGTTCATGTGCCTGACACCTGGTGAAGTCAAACAATACTAAAACGTTGGAGTTTGGAACAGAGGAAGGTTTATTACAGGGCCATGCAAGGAGATGGGTGGCTCATGCCCTAAGAAGCACAAAGTTACTGAAAACTTTCATCAAAGCTCTTTTAAAAGCAAAAGGTGAGGGAGGAACATGGCTAACTGTTGCAAACTTCCTGGTGGTCAGATCCTTTGCTCTTGAAGTCAGGTCATGGTCAGGTAATGATGTTCCTGTAAATCTCTACCAAACGAACGTTATTCTCTGTCCTGACAAGAAAGGGCAAGGTTCCAAGGTACAACTTTCACCTTCCAAGGCCCCAGTCCTAGCTAACAGGAGGCACAGCTCAGCTGCCAGCTCACTCAGGGCTAGGTCCCCAGACTCTGCCCAGCTGTCATCTCTGAGGGAGCCAGGTGCCCAACCCAACTAGCCCTCAGGCTCCCCAGGTCACACAAAGCGGAGAGACCAGGTCCCACAGACTGTGACCCAGGCAGACTGCCACTACTGTTAGGTCACTGCGACAGGGACAGGGGAGAGGTTCACTGCTGCCTCAAGGCCTGGCCAAGGCTAGTGGAAGGCCGTAGTGAGGGCTTTGGAGCTCTGCATGACATTGTGCCCAGTCTGTTCTCTGGGCCCCCACCAAGCTCACCTGCTGGCCCAAGGTGGGGTGAGCTGGAGGGCTTCCAGGAGAAGCCAGGATTCGCCCCTTACCTGACTCTTCATCTCACAACCACCACTCCACTGTGGTCTGATTCCCCTCACGAACTAGAATTCCGTAACTGTTGGTTGCTTGTAGGCAGGGCCCACTGCTTCAGTGTCCAGTGGCTGAGCAGGACCCACTGCCTGGTAACAGAGATGAGTAATGACCCAGAGCAACGGGTCAAGGGCTTGGGCCCACTATGATCTGCTATAATAGAAAGCCAGAACAAACCTTACTGAAAAATGGGATATGATTGCAGCATCATTTACTCCTATTTGTGGCATCCAAGAAGCTGCTTTTCTTATTAAAATATTGTACCCCTTTTACCTGTCCCCGCCCCCTTTAAACCTTTTTTGCAGGTTTTTTGCACCTTTTTTGAAGGTGGTGGACATTCAGACTGAGAGTGGGTACCAAAAGCTACCAATCATCTTTCAAAATAAGAAGATGGTCCTGCTTGGGGAAACTGGCAAGGAGAAGCTCCTGGTCTGGGCTTCAAGATACTGAAGAAGGCCATGGAGGGCACCTAGATTGACAAGAAGTGCCCTTTAATATCTCTGAGGGCAGATTCTATCTGTTATGGTGACCATGATGAAGATGCAGAGGATTCCGTCATTAGCCGAGACTACCTCCAAACATCCGAAAGTACAAGTGCACCTTTCCCCTCGCTTCAACGGTGTCGACCTACGACCCCAAGCAAAACAGTGCGCTTCAACGTGCTCAAGGTTATCAAGGCTGCCGGCACCAAGAAGTTCCAGAAGTTCGGATACTACACCCCTGTTCATACACTTTTCTGGACCCTTCCGGCATCTTCCTCGGTCCGGATTGTGCTTCCGGTGCAAAGGTCACGGACAAGATGGCTCTGCCCGTGCAGGTCCCTCTCGGGTTATCAAACTCAGCCATTGCTTTGCGGTGTGTTTCTCTGCGGGCGTGGCCTACAGAGCCAAGCGCTACCGTTACCTGAAACCCCAAGCAGAAAAGGAGAAGAGTATTAGCAGCTGAGAAGAAAAAGAAGCCGGATGAGCAGAGGCTCATTGAGGCAGAACTGGCAGAAGAAGCCCAAGAGGACAGCATGTCAAAGTGAGCCTGCCTGTCTCCAGAGCGGTATGATGAATAAAACTTGCTGTGGTCTGTGAAAATAAATAAATACATAAAATAAAAATACTGTACCTTACTTTTGTTCTTCAAAGAGAGGATCCGTAGCTCAAAGAGAAAGCTTTTATTTAACGCATTTGCTACCTTTTTTTTTTTTTTTAAATAGCATCTGATCAAAGGGCAGACTTGTACGAGGAAAAACTTTTTTTCTCTATCCACCATACAGAGTTGATGAAAACGGTCCCAGCCTGCAGAAAGACCTTTTGGAGAAAAGTACATTTCCTGCACGGCCGGTTTACCTTGCCTTTGCCGTACAAAGGTTGCCAAGTGATAACAGGGTTAAGAAACTGCGTTTTAGAAGTGAGCCTGCAGCGAGCTGGCTTAGAAGGCACAATCTCTATTTGTTACTTAGATCTTTTCAAAGAGTTACAGGTTTTGGAGACAGGGCCTCTCCTCACCAGGGAAAATCTATGATGCTAAAATTGCCCCCACTTTAATCTTTGGGAGCCATTCAAGATTATCGATTCCAATAATCCTTCAGGATACATTTATAGCAGACATTTTCCCTAACCCCACTGCTATTATTATAACAAACAAAATCAACAGTAAGTCCTTAATATCGCCTAATAAGTTCTGGGGCTCCACCTCACCTGCATGGGTTCACTGGCAGGGGAAGGAGACAGGAGGGAGCCATGACACAACACACCTGTGTGACACCTTACTCTTTTGGAATCCTTCTCCCTTCAGACCCCTTCCACTAGGGCTAGTGCTCCTCATACGTGTGTGTGTGTGTGTGTGTGTGCGTGCGCACGCACGCGCTAAGTGCTTCAGTTGTGTCTGACTCTTTGTGACCCTATGGACCATAGCCTGCCAGGCTCCTCTGTCCATGGGTTTCTCCAGGCAAGAATACTGAAGTGGGTTGCCATGCCTTCCTCCAGGGGATCCTCCCTATGCAGGGATCAAACCCACATCTCCTGCACTGGCAGGAGGGTTCTTTACCACTAGCGCCACCTGGGAAGCCCACTGTCCTCACGAGTCCCTCTCTTTTCCAAAATGATACTCACCGTCCTCTTTTCTTAGAGCCATAAAAGGCCAGCAGCTCTGGGAAACATTTGCACACACGTGTGAGGGTTGGAAAATACATTTGTTGTTGTTAACAGGTGTATGTTGCTCCACATTATCCAATTAACCTATTGTTCCCTATGGCTATTCTCATGGTGCCATGTGAATGAATGGTGGACCATAGTTAAATAATGGGAAATGAAATATCTTCTCTAATGCTAGGTGCAATATTTTATGCTCCCAATTTATAAGCATCCCCTTCCCCAATTTTCTTTTCTCTTTTGATTAACTGACCATTTCTGGGACATAATCAAATTGCATAAGAAAACTTCTACTATTCTTGTTCTTTAAGATGTTTTCCTTTCTTTCTTTTTTTTTTTTATTAAAAGGAAAAGAACTAACTTATTTTGCTAACTCAGTCACCTCTCTTCCACTTTTAAACATCACCTTTTATGGGGGTAAGGGTTCAGTCATTTTAGGATTGTGGTTCTCTTCCTTCTCCTCTTCCTTTCATTCTGAATGGCACATGGATTCAAGGAAAGCAGAGGCAAGAGGTGGGAAAGAGCGAGAGGGTCCTTCCTGGCTCCTGCTCAGGTGACTATCATCCTACCTTGGTTCTTGGTGCACCTAATGCTGAGCTGCTGTGATTTCTGCTCTTGAGGTCCACTTGCTTCCTCCCCCTCCTAGCCAGGATCTCCCTCTGAACTGACTTCTGCACCCCACCCAGGGCTCAGGATGTTCCACGTGCAATCCTGGAGCGCTTTGGAGCATCAAGCAACTGGTGGTGGGTGAGGTGTGTCTGAGCCTCTCTGCACCGATCTGCCCCAGCGCCATTTTACTCCCTTCTCTGGGTTTGGAATCTCCCCAGGATACACTCTGAAAATGACACACAAACCTTCATGCTAAAATATATTTATGAGCTCCTATTACCTCCCGACTCCAGATTTTACTTCAAGAGTGGTTCAACAAGCAAAGCTTTTGCAGGATTTCCCTGGCGGTCCTGTGGCTATGAATCTGACTTCCCAGTGCAGGGGACCTGGGTTTGGTCTCTGGTCAAGGAACTAGATCCCACATGCTGTAAGTAACAACTAAAAGATCCTGCTGTAACTAAGACCCAGTGAAGACAAATAACTAAATAAACATTTAAAAGGAAAAAAAAAGAAAGCTTTTGCAAATGAGTCTGAACATTCTTTTTCTGCTCTCTCCATTTCCAAGCTTGTCCCCACATCTTAATTGGGTTTCCCCAGAAACAGACCTTGAGATAAGAGGTGATCCCAAGGACACAGCAGTAGGGGAGTAGGAATAGGAAGCAGGGAAGGAAAGAGCCTCTGACGGGTGCACTGTCAATCCAGCCATCACTATGGGGCTAAATTCTGGGGAGACTCTGCGAGCAGAGAGAGAACACATGCCTCAGAATCAACTTACTCAAGGGGAGAGGGAGCTGGGATACATGAATTCCCATTAGTCAGGGGCGGAGGGCTGATCTCCCGTCTGGGAATGGGTCAGGAGAGGGGGCGGAGTGTGTGTATTAATTCCTCCAAAGGAGACTCGGCCACAGGAGAAAGTTGTCAGGAAAATAAACACAGGTACTGGCAGTTCCTCTGACAAGAAATCTGCTTTTACATTATTTTATATATTTTTTCAAGCTTTTGTCTGTTTATTCAAACACGATGTGTCTTTAGGAGTTTAAAAACAAGCTGGAGACACCATTATCCTTTGAATAATGCAGAGAGTCACTGAAAAGGGAATCGACACCATAGTAGTTTGTAACACCGGTGTATTAAAGAGCAAGCCCCTATCCATATCCCTGGACTGTAAACATGGGGAACCGAAGCATCAGAGGGAGCACAGAAGGGATCACACTGAACAGACGAGCCATTAAACTGTCTTCCTCATTCATACAATCAACGCACACTGAAGCAAAACTGAATTCCTCATCAAGCAAACATTTTTGCATAAGCTGCCTTCTCTTTATCTTCCTGCGCCTTTATCTTTTGCTTGACTTTCAGCAATTCTGCCTGGATAGCTTTATCTTCTGGTGCTATCTCCTGAGCTTTCTTAAGATCAGCCAATGCTTGATCATATTCTTTTAATCCTTGCCATCCGTGGGCTCTATGGTACAGTGCTTTGGTATTTGATGGGTCTATTTCAAGGGCCTCCAAACAGCTATCGACTGCGCCCTGCCAAGCAAACATCTTCAGTTTGCAAGCACCAATATTCAGCACGCAGCTCAAAGCGACAGGCTGCAGCTTTGCTCCATCTGCGTCCTCAGCAACAGCTCTGGAGCCTTCCACATACCTTAAAACTTTTGTGTATTTTTTAATGGCCATCTCCCACTTCTGGGATTTGAAAAACATATTTCCAATGTTTTTTAAGTCTTCTGATATTAATAAAATTTTATCTACATCTTTTAAATCCACATCTGCATCCTCGGGGAAATCTGGGTGACTGTCACCAGGTCCATCCTTTGGGAATATTCCCCAGTCATCCCCTTCTTTCAGTTCTCCGCATCTGCAATAACGCACAATTTGGCAGGTTTTTCACCTTTCACCTCCACATTTTCTAGAATCTTTGCCACACCCATTCCTTTAATCACTTGGCCAAACATTACGTGCTTCCCATCCAAGTGCGGAGTTGAAACAGTGGTGATGAAGAACTGGGAGCCGTTGGTGCTGCTGCCCGTCTTTGCCATGCTCAGCAATCCCTCCCTGTCATGCTTATAATGGAAATTTTCATCTTCAAATTTTTCATCATAAATGCTTTCTCCACCTGTCCCATTCTGATTTGAGAAGTCTCCACCCTGAATCATAAGTTTCTTAATAATTCTATGGAAAGGACATCCTTTGAAATGGAGAGGTTTCCCAGTGGTGGGTCCAATGCCTTTTTCTCCTGTACACAATGCACAAAAATTTTCTGCAGTTTTGGGTACAATATCTGCAAACAATTCTAAGACAATTCGACCAACTCGCTCCCCTCCGATGTCCACGTCGAAGACTCGAGGGTTACTGGGGTTGGAGGGCTTAGCCTGGGGGGATGGATGGGACACTGTAGCCTGAGGACGCGTGTATGACCGCCTCGTAACACCGCGTGGTCACCATGAAGCTCGAACCCTAAAGTCACCCATTATTTTATATTTTATGGTAAAGTTTCCAACTGGTGTACTGTAACCCACTGGAGGGCCAGAAAGGATATTGAGCCCTCAGCCTTTTTGCAGCTATGGGGGGCCTGGGACAGCTGCAATCTAAGGGCCAGTCACCAACTGTGAGCAGCTTTTGGGGGACTACAGAGTTGCTGTGGCCAAGAGAATAATGGCCCCTAAAGATGTACACATCCTAACCCCAAGGTTAGGGTCCTTAAGAGGGAGACAAGAGGATCAGAGTCAGAGTTAAAAGGGATGTCAACTCAGAGTGATGTGGCCCCGAGCCATAGAATGCCGACAGCCTCTAGAAGCTAGAGGAGGCAAGGGAATGAACTTCCCCCTAAAAACTCCAGAAGGCATACAGATTTTGATTTTAGCTAAACTTACCAGATGGCCCTGGGTAAGCAATTTGGACCTTTGTGTTCTGTATTAGCACACTGATCATAAAATGGAAGTAGAAAAATGAAGGCATTGCAAAATAATACTTCAAAAATCAGCAAATTTAAGAGCATAAAAGCCATTTTTCAAGTTTCTTATAAAAAAAAAATGTCAAGATACAAGAGTTTGTGAGCTTCTTACATGTCTCCCAACTTGTTTAGACTTGATCCTGTCTAGCTTTGGTATGCAGACACTTGATTGGCCTTAGTGACTGTCCGCTGACACAAAGCCCAACGGTGGTACAATCAACCTGCCACCTGGTATAAGCTCTGGGGTATCAAAGACTTCACAGGTTCACATAAGTGATAACAAATACACAGGATTGCCAACAACTGGAACCTCTGGCTTTCCTCTTTTGGTGGCACCTCTAATAATTACACTTACAAAGAACTGAAAAATTTAAAAAGCAACTTCTAATCGTCCCTGGGAGGCATGACAGATATGTATTTTCTTGCATAAACTACAGTTTAACCATCACAACATAAAGTAGTGACAAAGTACTGAGACATCAAAAGTCCAGTGAAACAAGAACACCTGTGAGGAAATGGGATAAATTAATTATATGAAGTATAAGATTGACCTACTTATTCTTTTTTTTAAACTGATATCTCAGTAAAATAAAATTAAAACAAGCAGTAGGTAGAAGAATGATTTTAACACCTACAATGATCCTCTTGAAGAGAAAAAATAAATTCTTCTTTAAAAAAAATTTATTCCTCCATAAACATGAATGTTAACAGAATAAAAGTACTTTCCTGGGTGATAAAAATGTGTTCTTAAATAAAAAAACACCAGTTGTTTAAAGGCTTATGCTTAATAGAATGTGAAGTCATCAGCTAATAATATTTTGTAAAATATTTTTTGAGGACGATGGCCGACAAAAATTCTGAGAATCAGCCTTGGAGAATTAATCCAAAATGTGGAAAGGGCTAGATGATGAAATTTTTAATTGCCATGTGATTTGTAGTAGCCAAATATTTTACCCAAATATCCACTGATGGAAGAAGGCTTAAGGAAATTATGATAGGGTAATTAGATAAATGGTTAATCAGCCATTAAAAATCATTTATTCCAAAATATTTTTTGAGTGTCTGCTACATGCTAGGTACTACTCTAGGTGTTAGGGATATGGAAGGGAAGAAAACACAAACAATCCCCATTCTCCATAGGCTTACATAAAGAAAGAGAAAGATACACAGTAAATAAATCTGTTAATTAAATATATGACATGAATATGTAGGGCTGGCCTTGTGGGCTTGTGACAGGACCCTGCTTTTATCAGGACCTCTCTCTTATTTTAATGCTATGCTGGCAGCCTTTTTAAAATTCTTGTTAATTTTTAAGAAAGGGCTGCACATTTTCAATCTGCACTATGTGCATGCTAATGTCAGTTGTGTCCGATTCTTTGTGACCCTATCGACTGTAGCGTGCCAGGCTTCTCTGTCCATGGGGATTCTCCAGGCAAGAATACTGGAGTAGGTTGCTATGCCCTCCTCAAGGGGATCTTCCCAACCCAGGGATAGAACCCGTATCTCTTATGTCTCCTGCATTGACAGGTGGGTTCTTTACCACTAGTGCCACCTGAGAAGCTTGCACCCCACCAATTAAGGTTAAGAGGGATATCAGGAAGGGAGGGGATTGCAATTTTTTAGATCAGAAGGGGTCAGAGTAAGCATCTCTGATGTGATATTTAAGCAAAAAGATCAAAGATGTCATGGTTATGAAAATTATCAATATTATGGGAAATGCTTATTATATATTTGTTAGGTTAATGATTGCTATTGAGTAAAAAAATATATATATATAAGTTTGGGGTTTTTGGGTTCAGAAAAAAAATCTTGAAAAATGCTCTTTCCCTCTCTCCCCCACACCAATCTGGCTGGCCTTACCTTCACATACAGAATCCAACAAGTCTCACCCAATCCAAGCACTGTTTTCTCTCTAGTCTCTTAACCGGAGCCTCCTATCCAGGTTTCCTGCTTCTAAATTTGTCCCCTCTAAGCTATTCTTCACACTGCAGTAACTGATTCTTTTCAGACCTAAATCGATTATGTACTTCTCTGCTCAAAACCTTTCAATGGATTTTCATTTTACTCTAACAATTCCAGATCATCCCTGCCCTGACCTCCGCTGTGGCCTCCTATCCTATCTTTCCCCCAACTCACTCTGTTCTGCCGTTGGCTTCCTGGCTGTTCCTGGAACGCATGGACTATACTCCCACCGCAGGACATTTGCACGTGCTGTTCACTGCTCAGGGTATTCTTCCTTTGAAGAGCCACATGGTTCTGTCCCTCACTTCCTTAAGGTCTTTGCTCACATGTTACCTTATTAGATGCACCTTCCTGGCCACCTTATTTAAAAAAACAAACCATCCATTCCATAGTCCAATACACCCTGTCTTCCTATCCTGCTACATTTTTCTTTGTAGGACTTTAGACTTACTATCATATTATTATTGTTGTTCAGTCTCTCAGTCATGTCCGGCTCTTTGCAACCCCATGTACTGCAGCACACCAGGATTACTTGTCCTTCACTATCTCCTGGAGTTTGCTCAAACTCATGTTCATTGAGTCGGTGATGCTATTCAACCATCTCATCCTCTGTCTCCCCCTTCTCCTCTTGCCCTCAATCTTTCCCAGCATCAGGGTCTTTTCCATCAGGCGGTCAAAGGATTGGAATTTCAGCTTCAGCATCAGTCCTTCCAATGAATAGTTAGGCTTGATCTCCTTTAGGATTGACTGGTTTGATCTCCTTGCTGTCCAAGGGACTCTCAGCCTCACACAGTTCAAAACCAGCAGGTCCTCAGCGCTAAGCCTTCCTTATGGTCCAGCTCTCACATCTATACATGACTCCTGGGAAAATCTGGAATTTCTGTACATGACTTTTCTTGAATTTACAGTCATGTAGGAAAAACTGGAAAATTTCCAATAGTCATTTTACTAAATACTTTCATTTTTTTTTTATATAACACATACATGTGACTACAAGCTCCATGAAGGCAAGCATTTTGTTTTGTTCACTGTCTGTTTTACATCGCCAAACTCAAAAACACTGTCTGACACACAGTAGACACCATAAATAGTACTCTGAATGAATAAACCAAAGTGAAGCAAGTTACGTGCATTATTACCCCAACTATGGAAAAACATTTGCTTCTAAGAAAAAAATTTAGTGATAGTAATATTTATGCCAAAGTTTTGGGGTATAACTCTCTTTTCTGAAGTTTCTTTAAAGTAATTGTACTACTTCTATACATATTTAAAAATCAGCATCATTTGCCTATTATAAGTATTAAGATACACTAATGCAATAAATCAGATATTTTCTGATTTATTTTCAGACATTTTCCCATTTATTTTCAGATATTTTCCTGGAACATTTTTTTCAAGTTTGCTTAATGGATTTTACTTGAGATGAAACAAACGCACAGTGAGCTGATATGTCTTATCCTAGGGAATTTTAGTGGCTTGTGATTGCAAATCCCCATAAACTGATCACATTAAAAAATAAACCTTTAATTCCAGAATAGTTTTAGATTTATAGAAAAATTGCAAAGATAACAGAGAATTCCCATGTACTCCACACTGTTCCACCTATTATTGATATCTTTCATTAATATGCCACATTTATCTTATTAACCAACATTGATACATGATTATTCACTCAAGTCCTTGCCTTATTCATATGTTCTCGGTCTTTACCTAATATCTCTTTTTTGGTTCCAGTCTCTCCTCCAGAATATTATACCACATT